ACAATTATGAGACAAGCTAGAAGGGGGAAAATGGGTTTGAATTGTCTATTCTAAAGTAACTTACCATAATAGCGCGAAAATGTCGATCTACTTTAAAATCATAAGATTACCACTAATTATAATGAGAATTCAATTCAGGAAGACACTTCTAATTTTCATAGTGAGATTTGATGCCCAGAAAGGCATGGAATTCCAAAACATAACTTTCAACTCGAAAAGAAAGAGGATCTCGAAAATAATTGAATAACTAACGATGAATAAAATAAAAACACACGATTAAGGCTGATTAAATTATAACAAGAAATCTTTTGTGCACTTTCTAATAGTCGTTAGAGACATAAGGAGTGAGTTAGGGGTACAAGGAGTAGAAAATTTTATATACTACCTTTTTCTTTAAATGTGTCATCCAAAGAATTTGTCTTTAGTATCAATTTCGATATCATTGAAGAATCGAACATCTAATTTTTTTTAATTGCCAGTTTTGCTGTATGTATCGCAATTCATAAAATTTGATAGCACTGCTTCTAGTTACTTACATTCAACAAACGATTCAATTCACAGTAGGGATTATAAAAAATATCCCGCTATATGAACCCCTAGCGGCTTATTCGCTCAACCAACCGAAATAAAATTTCAGATATTGATATTTAAAAGTATGCGCTCGAGATCGTGATGAATTAAAACAATACGGCTTTCACGGTTACGGTAACAGTGAAAACATTTCAAGATTTTCGAGTTGCAACCTTCACATTTTTCCGGCGCACACTGATCAGTGCATTGAAAAAACATAAATGGCAGTGGAACGATATATGGATGACGAAAATTGCTGACAAATTAAAATATTTGCAAGGAAGAGCACTGTAAAGGACCAGTGACAACACAAGAGAAGACAGAGAAAAATTTTATCGGGTCGGAGGATCACTCTGGCAATGAAACCACAAAGTTATAGGAGGTGATTCCACCTCCAAAGTGCTGTTGCAGCACTTGCGAACACATGTGACGACGTTTGGAGGAGCACCATCTTGCTGCATACATATAATGTTATTAACGACATTTCGCGTTCGCAGTTTCGGAATTACGTAATTTTGTAGCAATGTTGTATACCGAGCACTTGGGATGAAGCGTGTTATCATACTTATGAAAGTGAGCTCTTCAAAGAAGTAAGGACCGAGAACGAATGTACTTGCGATGCCGCATCACACATTTACTTTAGCTTCATGTAACTCATCATAAGGATTTTTAAAATTCACAAAGTCAACACCCTGTTGCTCGTCTCCAGGTTGCAACGTCTGAACAAGCAAGAATCGATAAAGAAACACCAGTAAAACAGAGCGCAGAAACTTGAGGACTTTGATTATGAATACATCCAAATTGCGGGCAACACTTTCTTTCAGTATGTAAAAAAGAGACCTGAAACAATCGTTTCATGGACTTCTGCATCAACTTCAACAGCAACACATGGTCGTATGGATGGCAGTGAATAACATGTGAATTCAGTTTCTTCAAATTGTTTTACCAAATCACGTAACATTTTTTGGGAACATGGGCCTGGTTTTAGTTTATGATTTAGTCGATAAACTCGCACTGCTGCAGCAGCATTTTCCATCGTCAGATAAAGCAGCTTTATCAATTTATCTTCTTTTTTCCCTGTAAGTGCCATTTTGTTAGCATGTTCGAACAGCTGACTGAAGAAACAATCTTCCCACATTGCTTATTATAGGTTTTACACACTAGCAGTGCTTCGCAAATGAAATTTTGTGACTGGTGCTTCTACTGTTTATCTCTGTGAATTATGCAAAGTGCGTCAATGCACCGTCTCTCTGTGTTGTCATTGGTCATTTACAATGCTCTCCTTTGAAATTTTCCTTTCCAATTTTCTTCATACACGTATCGTTCCAACACCATTTATGGTTATTCATTGCGCTGATCAATTTACGCAGGCAAAACAAACCCACATGCATAGCACGCAATGTACGCACTACGTAATACAAACAATTATATCTGCATCTACATTATACATGAATACCTATGTATAATACTCTAAGTAAGGTATTGAACAAAATGGAAAACACAGTGCATAAATAGAATATTAAATTACGTTACACATAAGGGGAATTGCATACCACATATTGCCCATACCACGTAAAACATGCAATTATAAAGTACAAAACTACCTATATAAAATACACTAAAATGACATTAAACGAAGTAAATTATACATTACAAAGTTTCAATATTAAAATAATGATGCACAAAAAATTCCATATGTATACTACGCAATGCACGCAACGCATATTGCCTACAAATATAAAAATGCAGTGAACAAATGCAGTATTAAACTACGTTACACGTAAGAATTCCATACTATAGAATGCTCATGTAATACATACAGTTCTTAATGCACTTTTTATAGGTAAGTTAAGTACACAAAATACACTCATGTCCATAAATTAAGGATAATGCAAAATCAGGCAAAGGAAGAGTTAGAAGCAAAACAAATTTGACTTATTTGTAAAGCTTATTTATTAAACAAAAGGTAAAGAGCAAAAATAGATGCTATATGTTTGATATTATTAAAAAAATTAGCGATTTTTTCTCCCTGGAGCAAAATTACAAAAAAAAAAAAAAAAAAAAAAAAAAAAAAAAAAAACCTATTTACAAAAAACCAATATCACATGATTAAGACACAATAACACGCCGAATTTTTTTTATTTTATTTTTATTTATTTATTTATTTTTTTTTTTTTCATTTGCGGTTTTGCAGCTGAAGATGGTGGTTCGGTAAAACCATCGAAACTAGTCCTGTGAAAAGTTTGTAAATATAACGCTGATTTTTGTTGTTTGACTTCTGAATCAATATTACATGGTTGGTATGATTGTTAATACATTGTATGTCACCCAGACGATGCAATACAGTCCGTACAACGCCTAGGCATGCTGAGTATCAAATTATCGATCTGATCTTGGGGGATATTACACCACTCAAAAAGCAATAATCTCCGAAGTTCCGGTAGACATGTAGGAGAAGGTTGACGGGCTGCAACTCGTCGGCCAAGCATCTCCCACACGTGCTCTACTGGATTCAAGTCCGGTGAGAAGCAATTTTTGTGGAAAAAACTGTATATCACAAAGGTGGCCATGAAAAATAATATTACAAAGCGAAACGCATTAAACATTATAATGGAAGCTACGTGTAGTACTAAGAAATGGAGTATGTATTGGAGTCGATTCAGTAAAGCAAGCATTGGTGCTATATAATTGCGCAAGGAAAAGCTACACGCGATTTAAAAAATTTGGACTCCATATTGTTTAAAGAACGCTTCTAAATTCCAGTGTATTGTGTAATATCTATAACTGAAAACAAATAAAAACTAAAAGATTTCACTTTATTAGCCTGCGATGAAATTCTAGCAGAGCATGTCAATAACTATGCAAAATTGAAAAGTTTTAATATCTGATTTTAATTAATTAATTTATTTATTACAATAATAAAAATGCATCTGACAAACTTCATGTGCTTGCTGATGATATCTCTGGAGGTTCAAGACGAAAATTTTGGGCATGCTATCACTTAGATAAAATAGCTATTTATCCATGTAATGATGTCAAAATTGTTTTTTACTCGTAAACATTTTGAGCAATATGATGAAATTTTGAATCTAACAATTCTTTTAACCCAGTATAGAGAATATAAAGATGAAATGTTATATGTATTGTAATACTGGCGTAAAGAAAAGCATTTAAAAGCAGAAGTGTTTCGTTAGAGGGTACCAGTATCTGTTACCTTTGTTCATCTATTCATAGGGTCACATGTAATCACATTAACAGCTGCAAACCGAAATGTGACGGTACACATCTGGGTTTTAGTATAATTACATGCTATAATGTGTAAAACTAAAATATCTGCCCTTTCCTAATCTTATAATCTTTCTTTATATATATAATTACCTACGTCAAGCACACTTAACTAAACTGAATACACAAACGGAATAAAAACTAATTAATACTCACTGCATTTTGGAGAGAAAGATAATTATTTTACATAAAGTGTCAGATCTAACGCAGATATTTTACAGAGGAAGTAATAGTGCTTATAGTCATTACAATGCTTTATTAGCAGAATCGAGAAGCAAGTTTTGCGAAAAAAGCAAAGTGAAACGGAATACATATAACCTTTGTTAGCAGGATTTTCGCCATGAAGAAAGATAAAAGAAAATTATGGGAAATCTGAATTATAACTGTTTGCGGAATTTATAACTTCGGAAAAAAACAGTTAATATTAAAATGTCTATCACAAAAGTAGTCATAACTCTTTTATTCTTTTAAACCAACTTATTTGAAAATTAATTAATAAAAAGTTTGAGGTGAAATAATTATATGAAAATAGTTTAAAAGTTTCATCATCCTTAAAATAGTTTCAGAAATTTCAAAAACTTTCACACTTTTGCAAAGTGGTTTATGCTTTACAACGCATATTTTGCTTTTTATGTCATTCTAAATAATAAAGGTAAATACATATGTATCGCATTTATTTTTTTTTAAATAGATCATACTATGGATTAAGGGATTATTCAAGAATAATGTACTCAGTTAAGACGTCCTTCATTCTTTCCGCTCATTAAGCACATTTTTATGAGAAAAAGATAAAAGTTAACAATAAAACTTATCGTTGTGTTACTGAAATGCCCATTCCCTTTTGTGTTAATTTCTACGATTTCCTCAATTCTTTAACTTGGATTTATACCTTTACTTGCAGACCCAAAGCATTTTTATTATAGATTTGATTCCATTCCTGCTCTCTCAGTTATTTCCAACTTCTCCAGTCAAATGGAGTAGTTGGAAATAACTAGGAGAGCTTTCTTGTCTTTCTAGTGTTTAAAGTTACGCAACTAATAGTTAATCTTACATGTGTTGCAGATAAATTGCCAGATTTTTCATTCAGATTATGTATTTATCTGAAATATTACGTCTCAAGCTTTAAGAAAATTAAGAATATTTACGGCGAGACTGGGACGAATGAGACTTTGCTTCGAACCGGATCTTTTCTTAACGCCCGGTTTCGTAGTTACAATATCCTCACATCGAATTTTCCAAGTCATTGAAGCCAATTCTGCTTCCAGTTGAAAGTGCCTGCAAGAGAAATGAAATTACTGACAGCTGCAGAATGTTGCAATAGAATCATATATAAATTAATAGATAATTTAATAAAAATATCTTTAGAATTTCGGACAAAATTTTGTCACACGTTTGTTTTTCTTAGATTTTCCAACTTGATGTATTGCGCGGCCATTTCCTGAAATAGTTATCATAAAAATGAGAAAGTGTATAATAAATTTAATAAGCACAGCTCGTGCAATTTCATAAAATATTTAATATTTCTAATTAGACAATTCATGATTTTAAGTTATTTTAGTTTAAACCAAGCATAATCATAGAAAAATATATTCCTCAGAATTCTGTTTATTACTTAATTTAAAAGTAAGTATTAAATTGTAATACTTACTTTTAAATTAATAGTTTGTTACTCATTAACATTCTAGATTAAATCTGAAAGTTAAATATCTGAGGCTTCACTGAAGGGCAACACGCTGCGAGTGAAAGGTAAAAATATTTTATTTCCGGCAGTGGCAACACATTGCTTTCAAATAGCTGAGTTTGTTGATTAAAACCGGAAGATATGATCTCACTTTTTGAGTAATGGCAACAGTCTGATGCGCTGAATATAAAAGTGTTTTAATTCGAACAGAGCTACATTGCTCGGTTTCTAATTGCTGAGTTTGTTAATCAAAAATTCATTAAATTTATACAAAATATGAAATAAATAAAAGGAAATTCAAAAATTGGGCTGCTTTCACATATACAGATAGAAAGCTTCGTGTATTCAAAATTTGGTGGTTATAGGTGCTGTCGTTTCTCTACAATGCGAGGAACATACATATTGTTGCGACTCTGGCAACCACTCGGGGGGGGGGTGACGGCTTTGGATTTGATCATTTTGGCGATGCAAAAACGAGAAGAAAATTATGAAGTTTTACCCTTCTTTTGTAATTATTACTTGGAATTTTGATAATTTAGATTTCACGGTATTCGATATATGTTGTTTTAAATAATTATTGTTTTAAACTTAAAATGCAAATAATAGTACATCTATATAAAACTAAGAAACGCCAAGTTATATCTTAATATTTTTGAGCTATAACCTATTTACTAAAGAATATATTAGCTTTTTCTAGCAGTTGATGAAAATTTAATCCATGGCTAAGAAATTATCAAAAGGATAAGTTTTGAAATCTATTGATTCCTTTTACTGCTAGATTTGCATACATGTTCTTCCTTATTTAATTCTTTTAAAAGTCACGCAAGACGACATTATCTGGTAGCAACAATTTGAAAGATGACGTGCACACAAAAATGATACCGATAATGATAAAAAAGAAAAGTTCGAGTAACTCTGGTGCTAATAAGTTCATCAGAGTTAAATCTGTATTAAAATAAGAAACCCAGATAAAGACTATTGGAGTTGTTAGGGCAAGCTTGACTTCCTTCCTCTCATTGTCATTGCCTGATCACAGGCTTCTCTTTCATCGTTTGCACTTCTGCAGCAGAAGTAGGTTTTATATGTAAACCTTCAACTAGTGCTGAAAATTTACGAATAAGACGTTGATTCTTGTTGCCTAAGCCCTCCAACAATCATCAAAATTACTTCAATAAGCCTCTCCTATTAGGCGTAAGTAGGTGTTTTACTAGACTTTCCCAGTTTTATTGGGCGTAAATAAATAACTTGCACAATGTTATAAATTTGGAAACATTTTTCACGTGTGAAAGTAAATACAGTCAAATCCGAGCACAGAGGACTTGGTTACAGTGAATATTTCGCTATGGTAAGTCTAATCGCCTCAACAAATTAAAACTTTCGGTTATAGTGAAGCCTCGAGTTTTGTTATGGTTGACTAAGAAACTAAAAATATAGAAATTAGAATTTATTTACAAACAAACTTTCTTGTAATGTATTAATTGGAAAAGTTACAATTAATTTATGTTAATAAAAGCCAGCGAATTAATTTCGTTGTCATAATCTGAAGCCTGGTTTTATACAGATGAAGGAATACTCATAAATAAATATAAGATTTTCTGTAGGTGAGAAGATGTTTTTTAATGGTCATCTATTTTTCTTCATGAATGGATACTTAATTTTCTAGAGTAGAATATGTGAAATTTTATCGGATTGAAATAAGCCTGATTTCAGTGATCTGGATATTTATAATATTTGGAGTAACTAAAGCGAAAAATATACTCATGGTCCTATTTGTTAATGCTATAAGAAACAGAACCCTCCCATACCGTAAGCTGCCAAATTCGGAGCAAAGGTCTGTTCACCAAGTATCCAGGAAAACGGTGAGGTTAGACGGGGATATAATTTTTTTTCGGTCGTAAACGTCAGTCCAAATTTATGGGAAAACACTACTCACAGCTGATGCGTTTGCTGGTAGACATTTTCATGGAACAACTAGACATGAAAAACAAAAAGATATTAGCGTGTTATTTACCTATTCTGCAATAGGTTCACTTTTTTGTTTCTTTATTTAATTTAGGAATATTTAGGAATTCCATTACATAGCAACGCTAAAAATTTAACTCAAGCGTATATTGACAATTCAAGAAATCATTATTTCGACTATTAAATCAAATGGATTAAATAGGTTGAAACTGCTTTTATACATCTGCTTGCGGAAAAAAAATAACACGTATCCAGATTTTTTCTCAGAGTTATTTTACTAAAAATTCTGTATTAAAGAAAGTTTAAACATACAAAATAACTTTCTTCTAATGAAACTTATTGAAATCGCATCAAATTTATAATACAGTAGTTTCTTAATTTAATTCGTTTACTGTTAATTTCCAGTGTTCCTTCTGTGTAGCTTAAGTTAATCTTTTGAAACATCTCCAATGAAAATCCTGCATTTAAAATAGCGTTGAAATGTAATGTTGTTTTCCTGTTGCTTTTGTACATTTTCAGTAGTTATTCAACTCATAGAATTACTTTCGCGTTTGTAGTTACTCTAAAACTTCGAAGAAATATATAAATGTACGCATTCGTTTGAAGTATGGAATCCCAATGCTATATTCCAAAGAAAAATATTTATTAACGTGTTCAACAAAAGTGTTGAAAGTAATAAATTTTAATTAAAACTTACTCTCAGGATACTTTCTTTTATTTCATATCTAATTACCTACATTAATTCTAATCCAGGAGACTGATGTTTACGTTTCCTACTGCACCATACTTTGCTGACTGACGAACAGTTGATAAACTGAAGAACTTAAATTTCTTTGCAACGAAATTTTGGCAATGAGTTTGAATATAATTTCATTGAACAGCTCAATAAGATTTGGTTTCATTTTACACCCCTTTGGTCACTTTATTAGCGTAGCAGTTTTATTGGATTACATCGAATAGATACAAATTCTTTAAGAGTCTCGCTTTTGGACTAAACCTGCACAGAGGAAATTAAGTTACGAAGAATCCGATTCATAATATGCTAAGGCACTAAAATTTTTGTCGAGAATAATTATTTTGACAATATATGAAATTTTAAAACTATTAGAAACAGGATAGAGATTACATATTTAGGGAGCACGTGCATACTGAAAACACACCGAAGGATTCTGCATCATACTTAATTTAGTTTCATGTATTTAAAGGAAACAATTATTGAACATAACTTTGATTTCTCGTTACAAAAGAATAGATAACGCAAGAAAACATCATGACATAGATTTAAAAAGCGCCTTTTTAGATAAAGTAGTGAGGGTAATTTAATTTAACTGTCCTTGAGTATTTATAAGCAGTTATGCTGGTGAACATTAGCTTTGATAATACGTGTCTCGATATTATCATTTTTCATGATAACGAATGCAATTAAAGTAGACATGTATAAATAGGTTAGACTGATCAGTATTATAAATTAATGAAAAGGGGTATAATTTTAACACTTTTTTCCAAATTAGCTTACTTGTTTAAAAATGCAATACATGGCATATCGCCATAACAGTACTTGAATACTGTATCAAAGAAAACACAGGTAAATGACAACAAATAAAATATGTATTGAGACTATGTATTACAATTATAGAAATAAAACTATAACAAATAAAAGCTAATTGTACCTGGCAATAACAAAGTTTTAGAATGAACTATCTAATAACAGAAACTTCACAATGTTTAATGGAATTAGCTTGTTGTGACTAAAAGTTCACATAAGCTTTCATTAAATTCAACCCAAAATCTAAATATCATTGACTGGTACAAACTTTTGTTGGTACCAGTCAATGATATTAATGCAATCATTGCTGGTTATTAATGCAATCATTGCTGGCTATTAATGCAATCATTGCTGGCAATACTGTAGTGTACAAATACAATTGCATAACCAGGTTCTGTTGTGACAGAATATAATTTAACTGCTATGTGCCTACTCTTTGTATGTGATCTTTTACAATAATTGCGTCTGGAAAATTTATTCCTGTGCGTCTGAGAAAAGTGAATAGGGAAAACAAAAATAAAGTGTCTTATTAAACTCAAAATTATACTAACACACTAACCGGAAAAATCTGTTTTAACGTAGGAGATAACGAAAGGCACAAAGCAAGACAAACAAACTTTCATCTCATGAAGGATTTGTTATTGAAACTTCATTTATGAATACTCGTGCAACAATTAAGATCAATTGAAAAGAAGAACCGAACCTCTGAATCTTTGATCAGCTCTGTTTCAATACTTTATTTGAAATTAATACTCTCTGCTTTTTGTGATTACCTTGAGGCAAAAGTCGTGAATTTACCATATATTAGCAATGATGAGCTGCGGTTAGAGTAAATTAGTGTCTCTTTTGAATAAGCTAAAGTCGCCAAGCTATATTTTGGCGAGAGAAGATTCACGCTATGCCTTGTACCGACGTACCTAAAATGCCTTGTACCAGGGGCGTAGCTAGAGGGGAGCAAGGGGGGGGCAACTGTGCCCGGGCGCAGGATCCAAGGGGCGCCAAACTGATGTTACGGCATTTTAGAATTAAATGTTTTCCATCCTTGGCAAGCAGTAGGGGGCGCGAAATCTTCAGTTGTCCCTGGGCGCTGAAAACCCTAGCTACGACTCTGCCTTGTACCCTCAGTCAGAGACTCAGCCATTCAGTTTTTTTTTTTCCTTTCAACCGTTTTAACTTCCGTCTTGTGATACGCTCTTGCAAGTACCATCTAATAGGTAAGCCTGAAATTATTTATGACTGAGAAATTAATCTATGCAATCGTTTTCCAGCATTTCAATTTTAAATGTATCTGAAAATTATAAAGTTAATTTTTGTACTACTTAAGTAAAAACTCCTTTACTTGTTAAATAAAGAATACATAATTGCCTTGACTTATGATTCTTTAATGAAACTGCGCTAGATATACTCAAAACGCCTTAGCTGTGTTAATTCACAACATATTAATGATTATGAGACTGAAGAATTAAGTAAGTTTGAGAAAACTGCTTTTTTAAAATGCACCTAAAAACTGAAATTTTGGAACTAAAATGCTATATTGTTGTACATTCCAGGGACATACCGTATTGAAACCTTTTCTTGTGGCTGAAAAAATTAGTTACAAAGTTTAAAAATAATTGCAGGTAATACTGATGTCTATTCTAAAAGAATTAGTTTACATAGGTATGTTAACAGATGAAAATTATTCAGCTTCGAAATTGCAAATAGAATTGCTTCTAATAAAAGAAGGTTTAGATACTGTTGTGTGCGAAGAAAAACCAGACTTGGATTAAAAGTGACTGAAAAGCATGACTAAAAAGAAATAATGTTGAAAAGTAGTAATTAAAGCAATAATGACTGAAAAGTAATAATGAGGCTTTAATATGCCTAAACATTTTTAGCTTAGGTTTTAATATATCTAAACATTTCGAATTGGCAAATTAACCTTCTTCAGCAGTATACCTGCTGAATTGGTCTAACACTAATCAGAACACTTCATCAGAGTAAATTGGTCTAACATTTCATCAGAGACAGAATATGAAGCTTTTCGTTTCTTGATATTGTAGTTCATTTTGTTATGCAACTTAGAGAGCTGTCCAATAAGTTACACACGCAAGACGTTGAAGGATTTTGAATTTTAGATGAGAATAAACACACTAGTTTCAATCTGTAGATGAACTGTTCTTAAAGTTTCTATTGATAAATTTTCTACTGAAGCGAAAGTGTATTTTAAAAGGTAAAAATGATCCTCGCTGCTTTTTTATAAAATGTAATAATTTAAAATGCCCTTGAGACGCATATTCTGATTCACATTTCGTTATGGGCTCAATATGCTTCCTACATTTTCATAATATATTTAGAAGTATGCTATAACTTAAATGCAATTGATGACAGAGAGATTTTAGCCGCTACCTCCTAGTTGCAAGCAAGAAAGCGGAGAACGTGCTACACAACATTCTGAAGAAAGCCTGGGGGAGTGTAAAAAGGTTTTGGTCCTCAAAATCGTTTAATCTAAATTGAAATCTTATTTGCTGATTGATTAAAACGTATCTGTATTGCAATGGTATGTAAGATGCTATTAAATGGCTTAATTTGAAATGGCGCAGTTTAAATTGATATATTATAAAGAGCTACTATTTTTAGGACAGAAAGGGAAAATACCCAAATTAAAATGAAGAATAAGAGGCTACTGCCAATTAATATCTGAAGTATATATATATGTCGTACAAATATTTAAAAGATTTAATAATGAATTCATTTCATTTGTATAAGCCACTTTTTTCAGAAACATCTACACAGATGAATTGGCTACTGCCAATATCTGAAGTATACATATATATATATGTCGTACAAATATTTCAAAGATTTAATAAAGAATTCATTTCATTTGTATAAGCCACTTTTTTCAGAAACATCTACACAGATGAAAGAAATTTCAAGGGCATGAAGTACTCGAAAATAAACTGTGCCCGCTCTTTAATATGGGATTTTCGGTGAGTTGGCGTAATGAGCTAACTTTCGCTACATGAGCATGAAAGAGATATGCTTGCAGTTTCTTATAAATTAAAAATTAAAGAAGCATGATTTGTTATTTTCATAATATGATTAACTGGGAAATAATTACCTTATAATAATGAAAAGAAAGCGCGCAGAGATTAGTTTATTTTCTACAATAAGAATCGTTTTTCATATTTTAATGCATTTTGCAATTTTTCCATTTTTTTCCGAATAAATTTTAATAAAAAGCTACCAATTTTGCGAAAGACGTAAATGATAATAAATTTAACCTCTTTTAATACAGATGAAAAATTGTTTTTGTCTTATTTATTGTGTTCAAGAGCTGCATTAGAATATTTTTAAGCATATGTACCAAAACGAAATTTTTAGCCATATTCCGATATTCGTATAAAATAGCGTGAAAGTAAATGCAAAGTGTGCTTTTAGTGATATATTTTAACTAGTAATACATATTCTAGTTTAAAATGTACTGATAAATATCAGAACTCACCTGTAGATAAAAAAGGACATAACGACGAAGACAAGAACAACACCACTTAAAACCGATGTGACGATGACATATTGTGGAAAAAGCTCTGAAAGTATAATATAAATAAATGTTTTACTAATTAAATACTCTTTTACAATTAACTGAAGTCTAAACAAAGCTGAACTATTTCAAAATTGTAGTAAAACTTCTTACCAACATTAAATGTGTGCAAATAAGCAATCCTTTGAGCTCTTAAGTTATACAAATAAATGGAATTATTTAAAAATGCACTATAATTATTCTGTTATAAAACAAAAACACTAATACTCTAACACTCTATTAAAATTACTCTAAAATTCTACTCTAAATTCTATTAAAATTACTCTACTACTAATTCTAAAAATAAAGAAAAAATTAAATGCTGTAACATTCTAAAAAAAACATTAGTATCTATCATTCTAAAAGCACTCCTAATAAGTACTCTTATTAAGAGCTATTTCTAATAAGTACTCTTATTAGGAACCGAGAAAAAAACTTGTGCATAGGAGTTTATGAAACTTAATGTGCTACCTATGTGCACATTCACTTGCATTCGCCAGTATATAAAGCGACAGACATTCCTGCCAGCTATCAAAGTTATTAACTGCTTAAGAATGGCAAGTAACAATAATACAAGAGATTTCGAACGCTCAGGTTTGGTCAGGGTTGGCGATGAACATTAGCATTGCACCTGCGAAGTTCAAAATTTCATGAAAGACCATTGCAAGGATGTACCGTATGTACAAGAATTCCGAAGAAAACCCCAATAAACGACAAAGGCTGTAAAAAAAGGTTCGACAGATCATGATGCTCATCTGGTGTCAAGAATCGTTTCGCTTGATAGCCGTGCAACACTGTTTGACAGCATCGGAATTTAGTGCTGGAGTATCAAGCATCGGTATCCGAATTGTGTGATGTGCCTTGCATGCATGTACTTTAAAAGCCGACGGCTAACTCAAGTTTTTTTTATGACTGCACGATACACAGCTACGCATCTCGCCTAGGCACGACAATACTACACTTTGCGTATACTGAGCGGCGTTTCGAGCTGTATTGGGCAAATGGAGGAATTCGTGTGTGCCGCAAACTCCAAGAATCCACGGATTCCAGTTGTCAACAGGGAACTGAGTGATAGAGTCCATAATGGTATGGAGTTTATTTGATAAGAAATTGCTGGGACCCCTAATGCATTTACAATGGTCAACGGTGTGTGCGCATCTTTCCTGAGAAGATACATCCATTTATATCCTGTGTTTCATGCTCATAAATTGGGAAAATTCCAGCAGAATAAAAGATCTTCGCATAAGGGTTGGGAAGCCCCATTTAACTTACAGAAGTATTCAACTGAATTTGGAATTTTCCCACTCTTATCCAAGTCCCAACGTTGTGTACAAATTCATAAAGAACTTGATATTTTATTAATGTCATATTTATCTGTAAATAAGTTCTTTAAAATTTTGACACAACTTATATTAGTTGAAGGAAAATAAAAGTGCTGTCTGCATAAGGTTTGTTACTTTTCGGAGATTATAACAAAGATTTATAAAATTTATAAACATACTTATTCCTATGTACTTTGTGAAATTCTAAAAATTTATCTAGAAATTCTGTAATTTCTTCTACATATAATACTCAGCGTAAGAGGTAAAAACGCAAGGATGGATTACGTACTTGCACTGAACAAAAATTTAGAAACTGAGAACGGTAAACTGATATCATTATAAACTTTGGAACTCTTATGATAAACGTATTACCAATCTCTTAATTTCTGTTCATTTTATATAGAATATATAAGATTAAAATATTTTCTATATCTCAAATTAGATTCTTAAAAATCAAACATGAGGAAATGATGAGGTTCTTTAATATATCTGTTATACATTTACTAAACCTTTCTCTTGTTAATTTCCCATCAATTTCTTTCATAGTCTTTTATATTTCTTTCGGTTGTAAATTAAAAAGTTGAAATAATTACAGTTGATTCATATTTCTTTAGGAACGCACCAATAGTTTTGAGCTAGATAAATTATGGATGCGCTTTTGTGTCTACCGCAAAAGTAGGATTTTTAAATAATTCTCTGATATTTAGCAAGGCAATCATTAGATGCAATTATATTCTTTTTATTCGGATCTAAATCTCTTATTTTTTACATATTCTTCTAAGTCATCTATTGCAAAGAATGTTTTGTTATTTTTAATATATTTTTGTAGCTTTTTATAGGTTGTAATATTTATGATATCTTCTCTTCGAATCTTTTAAATTTTTCAATTAAATCTGGATATTTATCTTCATGTATGTATCTTAATTTAAATGCTTCAGATGTAAATTCATTAAAATATTTCTTTTTCCCGATCTAGATTCTCCTACAACCACAATCTTGAAAGGGTGGATGGGCATGAGAGAGTTTTGATTCGGATCTGTAATCATTTTATCTTCGCCATAATTTTTAATGTTTATCATTTATTAAGAAAAAAAATGGATGATGGAAATTTTATTTGGTTATAAATGAACATAAAAAAAGAGAAAAGAAAGAAACGCATGCAAATGATCTTACAGGCCATACAATTACGAAACGAAACTAGGCTAAATAATGAAGATAAGTTTTCAAAAAATATTGGAATACATTCAGAAATTTCATAAGCCTATTATTGATATGACAAAGAAAGCCCATAACATGAAACAAAGGAAATATTCCATCAGGAGGTAATGAACCATTTCTGGCGTTGAATAAATTAGATATTAACTTTCTGGATTTGAATAACTTAGATATTATTTTTTAGACGAAAATAATTTCAGAAGTGTTTACTACTCTTAATGAAGAATACAGAACTGCTAAAATGCTCGAAATGGCAATAATATGAGGGTATTAATTATAAATAAGAGAGAGTTAGGCTTTCCAATCAAATTTAATTAGAAATAAAGTGTTCATATTTACCATCTGTACATAATGAACCATCGAACCCGCATTCCGGAACATCAGGTGGGGCAGAATCCCGATTTCCGGCCCAATGAATGTATTTATCTGGAACATCCACAAATTGTTGACTGACGCCATAATAATTTGCAACCACCTACCAAATACATAATTAATTATAATTCATTTCAGCGTGTTACCAAGCACAGAGATAAGAAAAACATAACAAGCTGCACCATTTAATTTTTTAGTATAACTTTATTGGCATTAATAAAGAGAAAACAACCCATAAATAAAAGTATCAGTAACATAAAATTATATTAAAAAGCTGAGTTTTATCAAGCCTCTTTATATAATTGTAGATGGTAATTTTTTGCAGCTTTAGGGAAACATACATGAATAAATACAGTCTTTTAAAGGAGTTAATAATTACTAAATTATTGACATTTGGATATTATTAAAATTATACATTTATTCAAAAAAGCTAAATTTTCTTAAGGATTAAAATCGTGTTTTTATTTAGTTCTCTCATGATGTTTCACAGCGGCTGGAATTTTGTCATCGATTTTTATTCTGAGAAGCCATCGATTTCAAATTTTGTACACAAACCCTTTCTCGATGGCAATGAAATGTGGTCAAGTGATTTTTCAAAATTCGGTTTAGTTTTTTTAAAATTTAATTGTAAAATGATTTCTCATACATAATTTCGTTTTAACGAACAAACAGAGAATTCCAGATATTTACCTTTTGCAGCATCGAATACTGTGGAAAAAAATCTCTTCGAATAAATTTCGTAGCTTAATTCCTGAATTTTTGCCGAATTTTTTAAAATCTATTGTAGGTCAAAATTTATGACTTTTCTAAATAAATGAAATATTTTATTTTGCCTTTGCTTTCAATAAACCTTTTAATATCTCGGTAAAGTGATAGCTAATTTCGTTTGGTGACCTCATTTAGAGTTTGAGAAATAGAATAGAAAAGATGTTACACTATTTCCCGCTTTTTTCTTGTAAAGAAAACATATTCATATATGCATTTAAACCTAAAAGAATTTCTTTTCTTTGAGAAGAAGCACTTTAGTAAAATTATTTATCACAATGAAAAAATGATAGTGTAAGTTGTTCGTGGAATGGATAAATGGAGAAAAAGTTGAAGAACTGGTTCTCTAAAACATTTCAAAACACAAGATGGAATGTTTTCGAGATGGATATTAATGTCATGAAGGCGAACGCCAAGACATACTTCGATGCCCAAGAGGAATTTTAATTAACTACACCTAAATGTCATGCTCATGTATGATATATGATACAAACCATTTATCATTTTCATTTCATTTTATTTTCATTCTCTTAGAGCTATAATAATACAGATTTTGTGAAAATTTAACATTTAAAAAGTATTATTTCTTATACCTGAGGAAAGCATATTGTCATAACTAATTTTGCAGGACTATATACCGAACAGTTTCCTACACACATTGTGTCTTCTTTATTTGATGCAATGCTTACAGACAATGAGATATAAACCAAGTTTTAAAATGTAGCAATAGAAAAGGGCCACATATTAATCATTAATTCTTTCAGTAACTTTAATTCAGATTTCTATGCTACGAACGAGTATTTTACAAATTATTATAGCTAAGTAAATATAAATTAGAAAGCTAAAATGTATTTATATATTAACGGTAAACGTATCAACATATGAAATGAAAACATACTTGAGCAACTTAAAATACAATTTTGAATTATTAAATAAAGATTACGTAATACATTGAAAAATAAAATACTTATATTCTTCTTCAAATCTTTCTATAATTTTTTGCGCTATGCTTCGTCCAAAGTAGACAGGGATCTGTTTTCGCTTAACAGAAACATCAGACAATTGCGGATACTCGGCAATCGTCGGCAGTAGTAACTCGGATTTCTAAAGGGAGCGAAGAAGGATCGCATTTTCGCTTTCTTTCCTTTACAAAATTTTCAGCAAAATACTGTATTCTTGCAGAAATGTTACTGCAATTTGTTCCACTGCTGGCTAATTCCATAAGTTCACATTTTAAAGCTAAAGTTAAGCCAAAAGATATCACTATATGAACCTTCGAAATTTGGGATGCAACAAAAAAGAATGCTTATGAAAAATGGCGGCGTTGCTTATCTGAAGAACTGTTATGAGCATGGTTGCCGAGAGAATGATTATACGCATGATTTGGCATATTCTGAAAATTTGGCGACTTCAGATGTGGTTACGTTAATACGTAAGTACCACCTAAATTATTTCAAGAAGGCACATTAAGCCTAATATAAAGTAGATCTCTGATATACTCCTATACTCAAAACGCTCGTGATAAACACAGTTACGACAGATTTATTCGAAACATAAAAAATTGAGTTTGTGCCCTTCGAATTAACACCCACTGAAATATATGCATATTCTCTAGCTTGCTAGCTATTTTCTAATATTTCTTACAGACTGACCATGGTTTTATAGCTGGAATCGTTTGGAAACGACGAACCCACAGAGCTGTCTTGATAAGATAGAATAGCGGGATCAGAACGCAAAAGGTTGAGAAAATAAAGTGTCTGTTTTTAAGTAAACAAACTCAAGCTTCTTTTCTTAAATATCATTTACTCAAAAGCCGATGTAACGTAGAATGAAAGAAAGATGCTTTAATTCCGTTTCTGCTAGAACTAGAACAACACCGTTTCAGATGATGTTGTTTCATACATTTCTTCTGCAGAAAGTACGTTAACATCGTCTGACAGCCAAATGCAAGTACTGCAGATTTCTTGCACGTAACGTGATGCTATTGCGAACATTTTAAACATAAGAATAACTGCACAATATCAGCTAATTAACTTTTATTATTCATTTACTATACATAGTTATCGTTGTAATAATTCAATTATACATATTAGTATTATAATTTTAAAGCAATTTCAGCAGTGATATTCCTATGAAACAATCAGCCTTTAGATGTAGGAATGTAGCTTACCTCATATATTCCAGTATTTGAGTCCATATCCAGCAAGGAATAATCAACGAAACGGTCTCCTTGTTCATTTATGCTAACGTTGCCAGTGATACCTATTTAGCCAAGTAAATTAACAAATAAGCCTCAAACTCAAAAAAGCGGATTTGTATAACATCATTTTACCGATTTTAACAATAATAAACGAATTAAAACGAATTTTACATTTTGACTTTGACGAGGGTAATACAGTTTAACACAAAAAATTCGAAATGTTCACGTCTCATTAATCTATGAAACAGCTGAAAGCAGAATATCTCTTATCTCAAATTTAATATTTTATAAAACGTTTACCATAGGATGGATCTCGATTTCGTATTTTCCGTTCAAGAAAAGTGGTCATTTCTTTCTATTTTTAAGAAAGTATCATCCTATTTTTCAAAAATGGGACAATGCACTAGGTTTACTTATTTATTTAGTTTAAAGTTCATGATCTGTTTTTCTGTCTTCTTTTGTTATGTAATTTGATCCCGAGAATTATGTTTTCATTCTTCTCGAAAGGAAAACGCATTTCCAAGTTTTCGAAGACCAGGGATTAACTGAAAAGAAGAAATAAGGATATAGCAGCAGAAATTTCCATCTCAATGTTCGGCAGCTGCAACTGCGTTTATTTGCTATTATTCTGAAGCATTATATTAAATGCATATAATATATTTTTAAATATACAAATTTAAAACTATTTTACATGCTTTTAATATTTCGTGAAACCTATGCAGTCTGTTATATTAAATGATTATTTAAAATATATTCAGGCAAATTTTTGCATGATTCTAGGTAAATTGCATGATTCTAGGTATTTAAATTTAAACTTGGCTTTAAAATTATAATTCACTCCCAAAGGCATAATATGAATAATGCATCAGTTTAAGCCATTGCAAAGCGCAAAATACAAGAAAAAAATTTAATGCAACTAGAAAGGAATTATAATGATATAATTGCTAATTAATGAAATTTAGCTCGATCATAAAGTTAAAATCTGGTATTATTAAAAATTTAGTTTATTTTAAATAATGACGAAGAGATAGTAATATTTTAAAACTTTCTACTGAAAGAAACTTTAAACAGAATTCAATTTATAATAAACATAAGGTTAGTGATTATAATAATACAAAAATTTCAATAAAAATAAAGCCCCGTGCTTCACTTGGAATTCATATTAGTATGTTTTTGGCATCATCAGAATCCTTGATATACTGCTAATCTTCATTTTGTGAAATAAATTTGGGATCTGAAAAACCTATTTAAACAAAACAAAACAAAACAAAAAACCCTTTTAAATGAGGCATTATTCTTAAAAGAAATAACAAATCCTTTATTCGATAGTTTTACTTAAGTTTTATATGCTTTATTTTATTTTTCTAATGGTTATTTTTATTTTGGAACAAACCTTTACTATTCCTTCTCGTTTCTCACTGAGGTTTCTTTTCCAGAATGAGTTTTCAGGATTTCGATTTATGTAAATAAGGTAGAAACGAGTATTTAAGCTGAAGTCTGGGTCACATAAGTAGAAGAGCGTAGGACAGGTGACAGGTGAAGGCAGGGCCCGGACACCCGGACGGCTTAATATGACAAATCGGGTGTCGTCCGGTACCCGCACCTATTTAGAACAACACAACCCTGGCGACTTCCTGAAAGGGCTGCATCGGAAATATATTAATGGAGAATATGTGGTAATGACGTGGCCAAACAAGGGCGTGTGCATATATATGCTTCAGTGTACAATTGATAAAAGTTTCATACATAGGTACATTGGTGGTATAGGTACATTGGATACATATGTATATTGGTCTAAGGGGTTAATGAGATAGGCAAACAATAAACACTTATACAACACACAAGAGCGTAGGACAGCGTGTTCTGCCTTTTAGTCACATTGTTGCTGCTAGTCAAAGCTTAGTGTTATACGGCCGTACTGCTATGTGCCTGCTAGTATAGGCCGGTGATCTTAAATAAGGAGCAAATCTATTAGTTAATTCTGTGCAGCTTCGGCTGATTAATTTTAGTTAGTATTAGATTAGTTTTATATTTTCTATCTTGATTAAAGCCCAAGTGGAGGCTTATTGTACGCCCGAAAACGGGCCACCTGATCATTTATTTTGAGTTTGGAATAAAGGGTAATTTAACCCTTCTTTGGACTTCTTCCTTACAAGAACTCAGCGAATAGTCGTTACACAATTCTTAAATATTCTAGCTCTCAAGGAAGGCTAATTCAGCTAGTATATTACAGTTTGAATACCAAGTGTACTAAAAATAAGCGGCGCACTACATACAATTCACAATTACTTACCTTCGAAAGTTCGATTCCACATTTTTTGGGTAATTATGCTTCCATTTTTGACACTGAAACCTTCGCTCAAAGTTTCATTCACAGCCAAAGAGTACAGGATGACAGCATCATGGAAAGCTGTTACATAGGAATTTACCTGAAAAAGTTTATTATTCATTACTGCGTTGTTACTGCTCTAAAAATGCTTTCCACCTTTGAATTGAAGCTTGTCAGGACACCTTGAGCTCTCAAGTTTTCTGGGGAAGAAAAAAAAATGTGAATCTGCTCATATAACAATATATGGTAGTAAATAAATTCAGTTTCTAATGTTCTGTAGATATTAATTTTCAGACTGTATTAAAAATAATGAGGTTTGGCAATGTAGCATCATTTAGCAATTTCCACTATTTTCAAAATGAAGTTTATGACTCCCAACTATTCCATTTCTTAAACTTCCATAACTTCCTTTCCTTAAATAATAAATGAAGGAACGAAAAGCAAAAGCTACATATTTTGGTTAAAAATGCAGAGCAGCTTAAAACAGAAAGGTAAACAGAACTGCTTCAAGTTTAATATTTAATATCCGAAATATGAAAATTCTGAAAATCATCTTCTTGCGATTAAAGCAGAACGAACAGATATGCTAACTGAAGACTGATTGCATAGCATATATGATGCACAATAAAAATGATCAAAACAAATAATATGTTTTATATATCAGATGCAGAACAGCAAATAACTGCAGATGATTTAGCAAATACAAAAGAATCTTCGAACTGATCCAGGTATACTTTTATTTTTAAGCACATGTACCAGGAAAACTTCCACGCATTTATACAATGTGGCGATTATAACTAATTGTGCCAAACAGACTGTAATTTGAAAATACCATTTCTCCGTTGAAACATTCTCCTCCCCCCAACTGGCGGGCACTAGCGCCACTACTAAGGCCGAAAGCGGTGGACACTTTATTACTGAGGTACCTAACAGGTGGGCCAAAGTTGCCTCCTATGAAGAGACAGACAATTTATATCCATGCCTTCTCCAAGATTCGAGGATTTGAACCTGCGCCCTTCGGTATGACAGTCAGAGTCACTAACCACTTTATCGTCTGGGTGGCTCGCTGTTGAAACAAAGCAGATGAAAATTGCGCAGTTTTAAGAACAATGGAAAATTTTCGAAAAAAATTTTTCCAAATACGAAATCCACATTTGTGAAAGTATTTGAATTAAATGTACAGTTTTACGAGAAATTTTGAGGCTTTTTTAAGACGTGTGTCACTTTCACAACCAAATAATGCTTAAAATAAAGTTAGAGTCTGTAAGAAACAGAATTAATTTCCCCTGATAGCCATGTTTTTAGATCTCATTTCCTCATTTCTTCAGATTTAGAAATCATAGTACACTTGTAAGGATCCTAAGTTTTACTAACGTTTAATTTTATTTTAAATCTTTACTATCACTTCTTATTTTCTACTTCCGGCCAGAATTAAAAGCTTTTAACTTATTTATGCAAATTTGTCTTGCTAACGCCAAGTACTTGCTTTTTGCCAAGCAAGAGAGAGGAAGGAGTTATTAGAAGCAGGCCGCTTGTCATAGTAGTTTTACTCGGTTGCTGGTTGCCTTCAAGGCCAGAGGTTTAATCCTCTTGATAATTTTAAACGTATCGTAGTTTTAGCAGCTCTCTGTACTACATACGGCTTTTTGTTAATTCACGGCCAATCTTGGAGTTAGGCACTTGTTTATTAATCCAAAGTTAGTTTAGTTAGAGTTTAGTTAATATTTTTATATTCTTACGTTCAAACCACAAGTGGTTGGTCTCTGTATTCCGAAGTTCCGGAAATCATTGTAAAGATAGAGAAATAAAGGGTTCGTATACCCTTCCTATGCGTACTGTCTACTTTACAATTTATTGAACATAGCTTTAGTAAGCTCCCTGTTCCGAGTCAGGACAGTTAATGTTTCCAAAGAAAGTAAAGAGGAATACTAATCCTGATACACTGAAGAGACAAAACATTACGACTACCTACTTGCAGCGTGACCTTTGGCCTGCAAAACAGCAATAACTTGGCTTGGCATGGGTGCCCCAAGTTCTTTGTAGATGACTGAAGATAGGTTGTACCAGATGGCTAAGCAGGGGCCACGCAAATTCAAGATATTCCGACACGGTGATGTTTGAGCTCTAAATTGCGGCTCTGATATCCCAAATATGTTATATCGCGTTAAACTCCGGCGAGTTAGGTGGCCAGAACATTAATTGGAATTCATCCTTATGCTCTTCCAGCCACTCTAACGCAATTCGAGCCTTCTAACATGAGGTGTAGTCCTGTTGGAAACTTCCATTTCTTATTGGAAAGACAGACGCCAAGAAAGGGTGCAACTGATCCGCAGTTATGCTCAGATAGTCAGCAGCTTTTATGGTCTGTTCTACCACAACTAATGGTTCCAGAGCCGCCTACGTGAACATACCCTAAAGCACAATGCCGCCACTACAGCCAACGGTTTGCCTGGAGGATGTCGTATCCCGACACGACCATTGATGTGATGAATGAGAAATCGTGAGTCATCTAACAAGGCAACTATCTTCGACTTATCCATGTCCAGTCCCCGATGCTCCTGGGCCGACTACAAGCTTATTGACAAAGACGCTTTGTCAACAGAGGCACAAAAGTGGCACTCGAGTCTGCTGCGTAATCCCATATTCACCAGGGTCCGTTAAACTGAGTATATATTAGTCAGTATATATTGTTCCGAAACACTTGGATCTGCATTGTATTGGGCTGTCAGCTGAGCCACTCTCTGGTGCCGATTTTGCTGTGCGAAGGGGTAACAGTTTCAGACGTCCTTTTTTTGATGACGTGTGAACGTCTAACTTTTTGACGTCTACTCCTGGTTTCACTATTATTTATCCACTTTGCATAAATACTAACAACGGCAGATCATGAACAACCCACCAGTGGCGCAGTTTCGGAGATACTCGTTCCGAGTCTTCGGGCCATTGTAATCTGCCCTCTATCAAATTCGCTTAGATTAGCAGCCTTTCCCATCTCTCGCAAGAGTAATTGCAAGAATGATTCCTTATCTGCTCCAGGAGCAGTTAAATACCATTCCCACTTAATCACGTATACTTCCCGTCATCCAGATGAGTTCATTGGAAAATGTGGAGATGGTTATAACATTTTAGCTCGTCAGTATATATTGTTGTTTCTAAGCATTCATTTTTGTACAGTGTTTCCAAGTTGTCTTGTTCAGAAAATAGAATGAATAAAAAAATTCCTCATTGGACAACTTTATTAATATTCGAAATAAATGTGCCCAAATGGGTCACAGAACTGAGAGATTAAACAATGGTTTCAAAATGTTTTGCTTCTAAACAATAAAATCTTCGTTCTGAATAAATTTTCTTGCGAAAGTTGGACTCCCTTGTGTTGAATACCTGATCATCAGCATTTTGTAAGCCGTTTATGAAAATTCTAAATTAATCCCAAAAGCAAGCATAGTTTGCTGAAAATTAGTGTTTTCAATTATATGACGGCGTGAAACTTTTTTTATTATTTTTTTATTCACAATATGAAATACACTTAAATTTTCTCAACCAGACTCGTGATGTATTAAACTATATACCTAGCGTACATATTTCACAGAATCATGCATATTAATTCGATGTCTTCTGGCATTTCGAATAGTTTTAAATAACTGAATTAGATTTGATTTTTTTTCTTTGCTATCACCTATATTTTGGAGCCATTTCGCTGACATTACAAATATGGCAAATGTTTTTCGTGTACCTCAATTTATTTTGTACTTTTTTCAAACTACGTTTAGTTCTTTTTATTTGTCTTATACAAAGAAATACAGAAGAGGGAAATATCATAATTTTATCGCCCTTTTCTTATGATCCCATGATATAGGACTAAAGCTCCGTTTTCCTACGGAATCGTTATTCAACAAAAGATCTATGAATTAACTTTTAGACGCGTTTTTGAGAATCTGTTTTGAGAAAATCATAGGATATCCTTGCCTATTTTTGAAAAGATATTCAATTCTTGGTTGAATAGAAAAATGTGCGCAACGTAAATCACTAGCAAGACTGAGTTTGCTTCTATACTTCGTTTTTATTGCTATGAAAACGCTCTGTCGCACAAATAAGTGCGAAAGAGCGTTGACGAGAGTGCAGATTTTTACAACATCTGTACCCTGCTCCAACTGCATTGCGAAAAAATTGGTTTCCTTCCTGGCATCAATTAACTGATTTTTTTATGCTTTCAGCCATATCATCAATGTGACGTTTCATAGTATTGTCGGAAAGCGGTACTTGTGAAAACTTTTGTTTACTTTTTAGTTCAAGAACAATATCAGCTACTTTCGACAAGCAAAGTTTGACAAGTGTTTCTCCGATAATATGACTTTTCTTGGCCTTTGCGATGAGTAGGCATAACTCATACGAAGCTTCGATTGCTTTATCAGATAGTTGAGCAAAGGATCCAGTACTATCTAATTTCAAGCGTTTCAAATTTGCATATTTTGCAGCAAAAAACTTCTTCGGCTTGTACTTTAACACGCTATGTTTTGTCCTAAAATATTGCTCCAGACGAGAAGGTCTCATGGCAGTCATCTCATTGCTTAATACTCCGTAACAAATAACACATTGCGGCTGGTCAACACCATTTTCTTTTTTGTATAGGAACAAAAATATGTTTAATATAATCATCACTATATTTGCGTTCCTTCACCGAACTCAGGATGAAGGGAAAAATAATTTAACAAGGTAGGCAGTTTATTTTCACATTAAAAATATACGTAACTTGTGTATCCAGAACTCATGCAGAACGGTATCCCAGAACTTTGAACGCTTAATAAACGTGATCTTCGACATTTCGGCATCAGCTCGACTACTATTTCACGCATGCACAAAAAGGTATTAAGGGTGCATCTACTCCCACAACTAGCCGTTGGTTCGCATGTGCAAAAAAAGTATTAAAGCTGGATTAATAGCCCCTGTAAAATGAACCTGGAGCATATTTTTCCCTCTGCGATCTGACGCAGCCACTTATGCTTTCACGAAGCTTTCGTTATTACCATACACAATCTTTAGCCCAATAAAGACAAGAGCACAGCTTGGTGAGGTGAGGCGGGTGGGGCAGTGGACACGAGCAGC